TCCAAGCCATATCGACTCAACCTAATATCTGAGCCGCAAAACTCACCATTTTTATTCGCGGGCTCTGCCTGTCAAGACCAGCTCACCATAGAAGACATTTAGCGAGCTAACAAGCATAATTTGATTAACCTTTAGAAAGTACGGCTGGCTTCGCTCTGAGCCACCACTCAACAGACTCACCGTGTGTGGCTTCGCTCACCTAGTCGTTCGATCCCGAAGCCAAATAGAACTGTGTTGAAACAATGTGACTATGGGCAGGTGGTATAGAAACATACAGAGCGATACAAAAACCAAACCAACAAGGCAAACTCACTTTAGTAATTTCCAGCTCTTCATCCCAAGACCTTCCATTGCTGCTCATTCCAGTGCAACAAAAAAATGAGGCCCGATTGTCCCTGTAAATAAATTCTGAAAGAAACTGCAGCTTATCTCTAATTGCAGCCTCGACATATGATGAGTTTTTCAATTGTTACGTGACTTACGAAGCTATTGAGTCGAACATGTGGGCTGTGTTCATACTTTGCGGCAGCCTACGCCAGCGTATAGCAGCGTTTCCATTGTACGCCAGCGCCAGCGACAAGGAAAGTATCGATAGATATCGATCTAGCGTACGCCAGTGTATGACAACGTACAGCAGCGTTTTCGCGGGCAGTTTTGCTGGAACTTAAATTGCCCGCGGAAGCGCTGACTTACGCGGGTGGACACCCGAAAACTAATTATCCACTCGATCGATATCCATACTTTCCTAACCACTCGAATTGCGGCTGTAGGATGGCATAGGCTGGCGTACGTTAGACCGTACCTATACTTTCCTAGTAGCTGGTGCTGGCGCACGCTGACGCAAGGTATGAACGCGACCCCACTGATTGTGGCCTAAAGTTTCACTGAATAGCCGTCTTTGTAGACAGACGATTCCACCGTTCACGTTGCCACATGAGAGCCTTAGTCAGCTATAAGTGGTTTGAACCGTCGACCTCAGTCCACACGTATTGCTATATCGAATAAATGTCCTATCTAACAACCTGAGGCACATTTCAACTTAAACCCTATAAATAGATAAGGACCAAGCACCGTTCATAGTTCGTGGGTCGTTTGAGCCGCGTTTATGCTTTGCGAACCAGAATAGCGTTGAGGAGAATGCTATGGCGGATACGCTAGTACGATGAGTTAGTCGCGCCCCTCGGGTAGATCGCGCCGTTCCCCACCAAGATCTGTAGTTGGCTCGACCCTCAGGCAATGTGGCGTTTTCGCGCATCCTCCCTCAGGCGAGTCAGGGGAGCTGCTACCGGGTATATAAGGATTGGCTGTATAAGTAAAGCAGCTCTCTGGTATTCCATCTTTCTGCCTCAGCTTCATCGTATTGTCTTGCCGTCGTATCTGCACTTGGACGTCGCCACCGGGTTTTCCTTCTAATTCAATCACTTATGACCCCCCCGTTGTAGAATCCTAACTACGATGTGCCCAGGTCTTTTGCTTCTATCTCCCTACTCCCCTCCCCTCTTCCCATAACGTGTGCAAGAGAGAACGAAGAATGCCTCGTGACTA